ACAATTGCACTGCGGTTATGGAAATGAATGTCCTTGATCTAAGAAACTATACAGTGAAATATTTAGGAGTAAAGGAACGCAATGTCTGCAATCGCTTTCAAATGGTTCAGAAAAATAGCTATACATATATGTATACGTGGATATACACACGCACGTATATAGTGCGAGCCCACATTGCCTACGTGAGCGAATGTGGCAAAATGTAAATCCATACAATTGGTGACTCTGGGTGAAGGGTATGGGGAACTTCTTTGCACTCTTCTTGCAACTTTTATATACCTGTGAAGTTATTTCAAAATAAAGTTTTATTTAAGAAACTCAGCAAAAAGGAGGGAGATCTACATAGGAGGCCTGGCAGAGCCATGACCAGCATTCCGAGGTGGGATTTGGGAGCCCCCTCCTGGACCCCCCCTGCAGCCCCTGCGAACCCAGCACTGGGTTGCGGGGCTCAGCTGTCTCACACAGCTTTGCTCCCCTGGCCCCTCACTCCTCCTTTCTGGGCCTCAGCTTCTTTATTTGTGAGATGGGGATAATGCTGCCTGTCCCTTTAACTGTGATCTGGATTTCCCACATGCAGGCTAAGCTTCAGAAGTTCTGGGGGAAAGACAGCAGGTAAATCAGGACTACCAACGGTCAAGTTGAGAGGAGCCCTTCATTTTTTCGACACAAGGACTGTGAGGGTCGTCCTTGGATGAAACCTCCAGTTTGCGTAACTCGGAGACAAGGGAGCTGCACCCCTGGCATCTCAGCTGTCTTGAGGCCCCTAACGGGCCTCTCCTGTCCACAGGGGCAGCGAGCACCCATGCACCCTGTGGCCAGCACGCTTCCAGGTGAGCCTTGTGCTAGGACAGAGCTGGAAGGTCAGCCAGGCCTGCGGTGCCCATGCCTCTCCTCGCCACCATCACCTGTCTCTTGTCTGGACCACAGCTATGGGAGACCGCCTGATTCCCCTCATCTGCCCTGACCGCTCTCCTTCCCCTCACTCCTGGCAGGAGCTCCACCAGCGGCCTGTGGGATCGCCCAAGACTCCAATCTATGGTCCACGTCCCTGCAGAAGGTCTGGGTTTCTGAGCAGAGCGGTGACATGCCAGCCGGGGTGTCCTGCTGCCGTCTCAGGCTACGGACTGGAATGGAGGGACCGGGGCAGGTGGATCAGGAGCAGCTGTGGCCCGAGTCGGGACCCAGAGGCCGGGAGACCCTGCAGTAAGTAGACTGATGGGTCTGGTTCCCCTAGCTCTGTGTCTGAGCTACACCAGGCCCCACCGACTCTGGCAGCAACGTTCCGCAGGCTCTCCATTTCCGGTGCAGAAAGGCTCTCCCCCACAGCCCTCCCTCTGTGCCAGGAACAGCGACAGATCAATCCAGCTGCTCTGCCTCCGCATCGGAAGTGCTGGGATGTGAGGACTCTCCCCGGCTCCCAGGCCAGCCGCAGTGGCCCTTTCTCCTGGGAACGAGGGAGCTCCTGACTCCCCACTCCCTGCGCCATGGCAATGATTAAAACTCTAAGAAAACTGCAGGCCACGGCTTGCTCCGCAGGGCTCCAGATCTCTTGGACTTTGGAGACCACAGGCAGTGGGAAAGCTGTCCTGAGGGTCCCAAGCCAGGAGGGCAGGGTGGGAAGTCTGTCCCAGTGGTCCACACTTGAACCCACCCAGCACTCAGGCAGGCAGTCCTCTGTGACTCATCATGGGATAGAAGAACTCATGCATGATTGCACATGCAGGTTTATACATTTGCAAGAGCCTGAGTGTACACACTTTCCATTATATCTGACTGTTAATGCTAGCAGTGGTTAATAATATATCACTTACTGTACACAGGAAGGTCTGCGAGCTGTACGGGTATCTCACTTAATTCTCACAACGAGGAACATTTCATTACCCCCACTTTTTAGAAGAGAAAACTGACACAGAGGGAGATATGGAACATGCCCAAGGTCACAGCTAGGATTGGGATTTGAACCAGGTTCTTGCTCCTCATCCCAACCCTAATACTGCCTCCTTCGATAAGTGCTCAACAAAATTGGGTGGACCATACTGTGTGGGCACATACCCAAGAGAAAAAAAGAGAAAGAGAGCAAGTGAGTGCACCTTGAGATCCATCCAAGCCCCACTGCCTAGCATGTCCCACACCCTTAGTCAGTGCTTCCGTGACCTTCTCATGCGTAACATGAGAATACGTTCACATGAGAACAAGCCAGAAAGAATGAGATCTGACTACCAATGTTCTTCTGCTTACAGAAAGGGGCCCAGAGCTGAGGCCCATTTTTAGAGATTTCCCAAAGGCTTCTCCCACTGCTGGCTACCCTTCCCCTCCCCCAGTCTGGGCTTCCCTGGTCCTGGGGCCAAGAACGCCCCGGCCTGGCTTCAGGACTGGGGAAGAAGGAATCCTGTGCGTGGTTTCCCCACTTCTTCAGGCTCGAGTATTGCCCCCAGTCCCCGGCCTCCCTACCTCCCAGCTCGGGTGGGCCCAGGCACTCTGACAGCTTTGCAAGGAAAGGTGTCCCTGAGACACACTTCCTGGCTTTTCTGCGCAAACAGCCTTTGCTGCAAAGTTTGTCGAAGCATTTGGGCTTCAGTTTTTGGTTCAGAGTCTGCCAATGTTTTCATTTGGAAGGAGAAGTGTTTCTGTTGATGTGGTGAAGAGATAAAATAAGACATTCTTCACCAAGTTACAAGTCAAGCGCTTGGCTTGGAGGCAGAGATTCATTTTCAGATCTGCAAGGCCTAGCACAGGGCCTGGTAGAAGAGCAGGCAGAAGCAAAGTTTGTTGCATAGCTGACTGAGTGAATACGTAAAGGGCCTAGAACCAGGCATGGTCAATGATCAGTACTCAGTCCAGGTTTTGACTGGTTTTTACAGGTTCTACCTTTAAAAGGCGTTCTCAGTCTGTGTTTCTCCATCTTCAGCAACCTTGCCCTATCCAGGCCCCCATTACCTCCAGCCCGAGCAACTAAACAGTTTCTAACTGGCTTCCCCGCTTCCATACTTGCCCCGACAGCCCATTCTGCCCACAACTGCCAAAGTCATCTTTGCAAACTGTGAATTGAACTTGTGTCATCTCCTGCTTCAAACCTTCTGATGGCTTCCCATTGCTCATGGCCGTGGCCTCCCAGGTCCTGTACGGTCGGCCCCCACCTGCCCCACAGACCTCTCCTGGGGCTGCTCTTTAGCCACACTGGCCTTTTGGTTGCTGCAAAAACCAACTCTCCTACCCCACAGCCTTGGCACTAGCGACTCCCTCTGCCTTGACTGGTTTTCCCCAGATCTTCAGTCTGGCTCCTGCTGCCAATTTAGGGCTCAGCTCAACTGTGTCATCTCCTCAAAGAGACCTCCCCTGACCCCCCCTTCTAAAGCAGCCCATCTCTATTCTTCTGCTTCGCTCATTCAACAGACATTTATTGAGTGCCTACTAAATGCCAGGCGCTGTTCTAAGTGCTGAGAAAGCAGCAGGGACTCAATAGGGATGCCCAGGTCCTTCCTACATGTCCTCATGGCTCTCAAAAAATCTGATCATCTTGTTTGGGAATCTGCTTGTCTTTTCTCACCAAGGGCCAGGAGGCCACAGCTAAGTCTCTCTTGTTCACTGTGTTCACCCACTGGGCACAGTATGTACTCCGTAAACATTTGTTAAAAGAACGGATGGATGGATGGATGGATGGCAGGCAGGTAGGTAAGGAGACTGGGTAAGTATGCAGGGCAGCTGACCCACTCTCCACCTGGCACTTGGTTCTTGCTAAGGTCTCACTGAGCTCAAATGAAGTTTTATCAAAGAAATCTCACTGTCCCCCTCTCAGGGGAAGCCCTCAGCCCTCAGCACTACCACCAGCAGGTCCTGCCCCACCCTGCATTCCCTCTGACTATGGTCATCTTGGCAAAGGCAGGCCACAGAGGGGAGTTAACTCAGCCTGCTTGGCGTAAATGGCATTAGTGTCCGTCTTCTAGAAGGAACTCTTGTCACCTCAGTATCCTCCCTTCATTGCCATTCAGGCCCTGTGCCTAGTGACACTGCACATAGTCCAGTGGAGGAGCTCAGCCAAAGAGTGCCTGCAAGTCCCATGAACCTTCACCAGACCCAACAGCCTGCCTACCCCTCTCTCTCTCTCATCTTGTTCAGCTGCCTCTCTTCCCCGCTCTGAGACTTTGGCCAAGTCCCTCTCCTTCCTGGACCTTCATTTCCCTCCCATCAACGCACAAGGTGGGGCAGGACACACAGCTTCCTGGTCGCAGCCTAGAGGCAGGACTTGAACACCTCAGTGCAAAGATCCTGTGGTCCCTACTCCCACCAGCCCAAGAGCTCCCTGAGGCCTTGCAAACACTGCAGGCAAAGCCAGCCCCAGCTTGCCTGGTCTGTGAGAGCAACCTGCGAAACTGGCAGTTCTTGCAGATGCAAGCTGCACAACTGTGAAACTGGCAGTCCTTGCAGATGCAAGCTGCACAACTGTCGAGCTGGGGCACCCTGAAACCCGACTCCCAAGTAGCAGCAAGCCCAAGGCCAAAAGTAAGTGCAGACTGCTGAAGGAGGTTTCTCCTCTCTGATTCAGCGGGGGCCCCACCCAGACCCCAGGGGCCACAGGACAAAGGTGGTCACTGCCTGGCTTGCTACCTCTCCTGACACTCCAAATCTTTATCCTCCCAGGACTATGGGAATCCCCAGAAAGCCAAGGTCACCATCAAGCCAGACTGAGGCAGAAGGGAGGAGCTGACAGCTCTGCCTCGAAGGGATCTGGGTGCAAAGGCACTTACAAGCTGTGGCAGTAGGTACCATGGCTAACCCAAACACCCCTTAGGCTCTGCCTCCCTTCCCCTCTTCAACAACAACTGTCACCTTCATCAGAGAAAGCTTTCCAGCCCCAACTAAAGGCCTAAGAGGGTCTGGCCACTGCTGGCAGCCCAACAGACCTCCAGGAGCCTGGGGGAAGGGTGTGTGTCTGGTCTGGAGATGCCACCCTCTTCGCCAGCGCCCCCAACCCACCCTCATCTGGAACAGAGGGCACTTACAGGTCTTGGAGGCCGGAGACGGCCTCGTCCTGCGGATCCCATCCCTGGCCCGACGATGCCCCCAACCAGCAGCGGCGGCATGATTTGGGCGGCTGGTCCAGACCGAAGGGTGCGGGTCGTTGGGGGGAGGGGAGGACGGTAGCCAAGCCTACTCCAAGTAACCATCGAAGACATCGAGCTCGGAGTCGGCATCGTAGAGGCCCGAGCCGGGGTCGGAGAGCACCCCGAGGTCCACGAGCGCCTGGTCCATGTCCTCGGGCAGGAAGACGAGGCCCACGTTGAGGACAATGTACTCCATGAGGAAGGCGTAGTATAGGATCAGCACATTGACGAAAAACAGGCCCACGTAGAACATAGAGGGCAGCAGAGACGGCGGCACGTAGGGGACCAGGGGGCCCAGCGCGTCCAGGTGGGCCGCGACCCGGGCGCCGGGCATGCAGGGGGCGGCGAGGGCGGCGGCCCGGCGATCCCAGCGATCTCAGCCGCTGCGGCGCCCGGGCGGCCGGCAAGGGGGCAGTTCAGCCATCCAGGGGCGCCCCGGGGGCTGGACCCAGGCGGCGCTGGGCCCCGGCGGTGCCCCGCCGGTGTGCGCCGGCCTCTGCGGACGCGCCCCGGCCCCTGAAACCTGTCCGGCGGGGTCCACTCACCCCAGATGTGCCCACACGGTCCTCTCGATCCACCCGGCGGACAGGCAGGCCCTCCCCCTGAGATGCCCGGCGGCTGCCCGGGTCCTCCGACGCGCCTCGTTCGCGCTCACAGGCCCTCGCAGCGCCGGCGGGGACCCCACCGCGGCTCAGCGTCGAGGGCCAGTCCCGGCGGCGGTCTCTTCAGCCCCGCCCGACAGTTCCTCGAGCCCCCTCCGCGCCCCCGCAGGCCCAGGGCCCATGGCTGCGGCCGCCGCGTCGCCCTCCGGGTCGCGTTCCGAGCACCGCCTCCGGAGCGGCCCCGCGCTCATTGGCCCGCCGCCCCTTGCCCGCGCTCATTGGCCCGCTCGACTCCCGCGCTCATTGGCCCGAGCCATCCGGAGGCGGTACCGCTTCGCTCCGCCCCTCAGGGGCTATGGCCTCTGAGCAGCTTCCCGGGTTCCGGGCTCCGCCCAGGTTTCAAATCAATTGGCTCTGCGAATCCCCCAGGGAGTAGCGGGGGGGGAGGGGGGGTGGGGGGAGGGGGTTGGGGGGGCTGGGAAGAGACAGAACACAGTTCAAAACTAGACGTATCCAAAAGGTTAAGACAGCTGAAGGAGACCCCCGAGCTTCCTCAGCAGACCCCCTTGGACTTGGATATGGCGTCACGACTCAGTTTACCTGTCAAAAGGAGGCAGGGTAGGGGGGCGGTGAATTTATCAGTGAAAATCTCGGACTTTCCAAAGTGGCAGTTTTCCGTGGTGGGGAAGATTAATCAGTGCCTCCTTCATCTCTCCAAATTCTGGCTGCCAGAAGGTCTGCCCATTGCGAGGATGTGCATAATAGGGTTCAGGGACACTTGAATAAAGAGATTCCCAGGCAGGTCAGTCCTGCAGCAGTGGGGTTGCTTCTTGTTTTGCTTTGTAAACGATGTTTGAAAACAGGACGTGGTTAAACATTGAAACAACCAAGAAGTACATAGAAAAGTGAGTCTCGCCTTCCTTGATTCCCCTTCTCATGAGCGCCCTTGTATATCTTTCAGGAGACTGATCTTGCCCAAAGCGCCTTCCGGAGCAGTTCAACAGACCTTTACTATTTTTTTAAAGATTCGATTTTTAAGTAATCTCTACACCCAAAGTGGGGCTTGAATTCACAACCCCAACATCAAGTGTCGCATGCTTGCTGACTGAGCCAGCCAGGCACCAGGACAGACCTTTAAATCTCAGGTCACACTGAGCTGGGTGTTTTACATACATGGCTTAATTGCAGCTAGACGTGGCTGTGTAGTGTGCTACCCCTTTGTGCAGATGAGGAAATCTAGGCCCAGAGAAAAGGGAGGGCCTGGAAAGATGCTAGGTCTGTGTGTGTTTGGAGATTAGACCTGCCCGTTTTTCTCCATTTCTGTCTCTTTGCCCCTTTACATGAATTACAGAGCAAACCGTTAAACCTCCAACTGCTGAAGGTGAAATACACCTTCATTCCGTCACTCATTCACTCTGCCAATATTTGTTGAGACCCTATGATGTGCCAAACTTTGTGCTAGGCAGTGGGGAGAACATGGGCCCTCAGCCCAACTCTGAGCACAGTTAATGGGACACAGTAGGCCTTAGATAACTGCGGTGTAGAAAGGAATGAATGAATGGTGAATAGGGCCGTCTTGCCTCCAGGTAGCTTAACTTCTACTCCAGGACAGAAATTTAGATACATTTTCTTGGCTTATGTGGGGAGTTGGATGTTTCTTTTCTTCTTCTTCTTTTTCTTCAGTGTGGTAGTTTTGGGAATTGCTTGAATTTTGGGTGAAGACTAGAGAAACCCTCTGAAAGCAGAGGAGGTTCAGTTTTGGTACATTGTTGCCTGAAGGCCTTTCAAATTCTATTTTTTAAGTTTAAGTGGAAAAAGAAAAAAAGCTATAAGGACAGTCAAGACCATTGCCGATTTGGTACAGATTAACTTACTGGGGCATAAAATGAGGGTGCCAGGGTTTGAACCACGCACGGACTAGCTGCATGACCTTGGGTAAGTCAACCCCTCTGTGATTCAGTTTCGCCATAGGTAGTATGGGGATGGATGATAGTACCCAGCTCCTAGGTTGGTGGTTAGCCTTAAATATCAGTATATGTAAAGCGCTCAGGACGGTGGCACATAGGATACGCCATGCAATAACTATTCTTATTCTTATCATACAAGCTAAAGATTGTAAACATTGCGGTTACTTTTAAGCACCCATCTTCACCGATTCCCTCCTCAGGGCTGCGCGCACAGGCTTCCCCTTCCCGCCCACCCTCGGATACTGCGGGCTCTCCCCCTCCTCTCGCTCCGCCTCTTCTCCAAGGCCGCAGGCCCGCAGTTGCCCGATGCACGCCGGGCCTTGTAGTTCGTTCGCAGAGTCCTGTCGGCGGGGGCCTCGCGAGCGAACTGCACTTCCCAGCGTTCCTCGTGGCGGCGGCCGTAAAGCGCGGCGGTCGAACGGCCGGTTCCGGCTGAATGTCAGTGCGGAGCTGTGGGCCGGGGAGGAAGGTGGTTGGCGGTCCCCCTACCACCTCCGCCGTTGTCTCCTCCGCTTGTGTTGCCGCTGCGGGCGCCCGGCCGCTCGGCCGCTCGGGCATGAGACCGTGAGGCGGGCAACGCGTCGGGGCCGCCAACATGTTTGGCCGCTCGCGGAGCTGGGTGGGCGGGGGCCATGGCAAGTCTTCCCGCAACATCCACTCCTTGGACCACCTCAAGTGAGTGTGTTGGGGGCTGAGGGGCCCAGGCCGCGGGGCTGGACGTGGGGTTGGGGGCGCATAGCCCCGGGCTGGGGGCGCTACGAGGTGTGAGAGCGAGGTGGAGGGCGGAGAGAGACCCCCGGGAGAGGCTGTACGATGGTTAAGAGCGAGGGCTCTGGAGTCAAGGCGCCTGGGTTCGAACCCTGGCACCGTCGCTCCTCGCTGTGTGACCTTGGGCAAGTGGCTTAGCTTCTCAGAATCTCAGGATCCCCATTTGTAAAGTAAGGGCATAGATTTCAGTTTACGGATGCAGACTTTGTTCTTCTCGGGGGCAGCGGTGGGCACCAAGCTTCTGAGGGTGGTACTTCTTAGGCTGGACAGCTTAGGGGCCAGAGATCTGGACCTGGGAGTCAGATCGGGGTTCGAATCTAAGTGTGTGAATTTAGGCCTCAGTTTCCTCAGTTGTAAAGTGGTTATAGTGACAGCACCTACTCCCTATGGTTGTTTTGAGGGTTGGGTAAGGGAATGCTCGTAAAACTGGAAGCATGTACAAGTGCTCAATAAAGGACAATTGTTTAAATTTTTTTTCCCCTTGGGGGAGTCTAAGGAGGGGAATATCAGAAGTAGAGCTCTGGGGGAGGACAGGTGGCCAACATGGTCCTGGGAAGCAGGAGTGCACAGAATGGCCTTGCAGTCAGACCTGCATTCAAATCCTGATTCTACCGCTTAATGGCTGTGTGACCTTGGCCAAATCACTTCCTTGAGCCTCTGGTTCCCCATCTGCAAATGGGGATGGTGTACACTGTTCAAGCATTCAATAATATCATGCATGGAAAGAGATTGATCTAGTGTCTCTTACACTGTAGGTGGCTAATAGTTGCAGCTGTGTTTATCAGCTAGGTAAGGCCTTCCCAGACCACCCTACCTAAAGTGCTTCCCCACTTCAGTTCCTTTCCTTCTGATCTTTCTCTTGCTTTCGTTCAATGCCTGTCTTCACTATCTGCCTTTACCCTGTTTTTTACTTCTTTTCTGTCTGCTCCTAAACTGGTACTTCCAGAAGAGCAGAGACTGCTTTGTTCTGCTCACAGCTGTATTTCCAGCATCTAGCGCTGTGCCTGGCACACAGTAGGAGCTCAGTGGCTACCGAAAGAGTGGGGAAAAAATGGGTGAATTGGGGACAGGTCCAGAGCATGCAGACAAACCTAGGATTTGGGGGGGGGGTGAGGCGATGGAAAATAGAGATTTTTGTGGAGGGAATGACTTCAGGGAGGAAAATCTAGTTGGGGGGCATTTGGGTTGGGAGTAGGCAATCCTTTGGTGGTAAGAAATAGGCTGGTTTCCAGAGGGAGCTCTGAAGATTACTAATGGGAAGGAAGAAGGTTAGAGGGGGGAGGCAGGGAGCAGTAGAAGGAAGACAGGGGCCCAGGGAAAGGATTGGTGGGAGGGAAATCAGCTGGGGCTTCTCATTTGGCCAGGGGTCGGGGTGCTGTGCTTCTCAGCTATGTCTTTTCTAGCACGGAACAGGCGTTTCATAAATGTTTGTGAGTCTCAAAGAGTTGGGGGGGCAGGAGGGATCAGTATGTCGTAAGGAATGGTTTTAGGGAAGTGATGAGAGGACATAGGGAGGAGAGAGGCACAGGACAGGATGGGGGTGTGTAGGGAAGTCAGGAATCTTAAATGGGACGGCAGCTGGACTGGAAAGGGAGAGGCAGAAGGATTTCAGGAATTTAGAGAGTGGGTAGATGTGGCTGAGAAGGGGAGGATGGTTATCTAAAGGACGTTGGGCCTCTGGCCAGCATCCAGGCACCTGCAGGCTTTCACCTAGCTCTGCCTGCCTCCAGCCCTTGTAAAATACTTTAATAATTATTGAATGCATTTTTTTTTTTTGGTGCCAGGTACTTATTGAGGACTTCCTGTGTGTTATTTCCTTTAGTCCTCACAAATCTGTGAGTTATAGGAACTGTTACTGTTTTCCATTTTATAGAAGTGGAAACTAAGGTTCAAAGAGGTTAAGTCACTTGCCACAAGGTGACAACAACTGAAACAGTCAAAAAGCCTGGATCTGACTTCAGTGCTCGCACCACTGCACTGTCTTTCTGAAGGAAGCTGCTTCCTAAGTCAGTTTGGGCAAACTTTCAACTTGGTTGAGTCTCTCTGCCTGATGGGGCATCTTTACCCACCAGCCAGCCAGGGAATGGTAAAGGTTCACAGATTCCTTTGAAGTATCTGGGAACTGCCCAGGTTCATTGTTGAGGTTAAAAGGCCATTGGGTGCTTTTGGAAACCTGAGCTGCCTGTCCTGGATCAGGCAGATCAGCTTAATCCATATTACAGTCTGAGGAACCTGGCAATTTGCAGACTGCTGTGGGGCTTAGAAGATCCCAAAATGACTTGGAAAAGAGTGTCATAAACAGCTAGTGCTCACTCCAGTGCTTGTGATGTTCTTCATTTGGCTCTGATAGTAAGCATCTTAGGCCTTAGGTACAGAACAGCTCATTCCCTGAGTTCACAGGCTGGTGGGGGAGACAGCCATAAAGCCAGTGACTGTACAGCAGGACAAGTGCTGGGAGCTCTGTAGTCAGGGTTCTGTAGGAACCCTTGGAAGCTTTCTGGGGGAGGCAACACCAGAGCAGAGTCTTCAAGGACAGAGCCATCATGTGGGGCCGCAGGATGTGGGAGGGGGACCCTGGGGTTTGTGGAGTATCAATGTGGTGCTGGTGGTTGTAGGAAATAAGACTGGAGGTAGAACAGGGCTTGGGCTTCATCTGACACGAAGGGTGACCAACCATCCCGGTGTGCCTGGGACTGAGGGATTTCCCAGGACATGGGACTTTCAATGCTAAAACTGGGAAAGTCTTGATCACCCTAATATACTCTTAGCTTGACCTAGGGCAATGTGGGTGGAGAGGAAAGATTAAGATAAAGAATTTAGATTTTTTTTAAAAAAAAAGGTTTTTTTGGACATGAAAAGCACCTAGGAGCCCTCCCCGTTTTAAAAATAGACTTTATTTTTTATTTAAAAAAAATAGACTTTATTTTTAAGAACAGTTTGAGATTTAAAGAAAAATCGAGAAGATAGTACAGAGAGTGGGAATTGCTTTTGAACCACATTATTCTTCTAACATTCTCAGCTTTCAAACTGGAAAGGAATCTTTCTGTTAGACAGGGTTCGACTTTGCTAAATAATGGAAAACTGTGTGCCTGTGGTCCTTGTGTACTGAATCGAGTTAGAGATTCAGTCGAAGCAGACTGAGATAGTAAGAGGTTATTGGCTACACGTCACGGGTGGTTTATTGCCCAGACTAGTAGCAAGGCCGTGACACTGACTAACAAATGCCCACCAGCAAGCAGAACCTTTACTGAGATGGAGTTGTGTGATTGCTTCTGAAAGATCACCTTTAGCAGGAACCGCAAGTCCACAGATTGGTAGAACTGTTTTGGTGTTGTGTTGTGCTGTCCCCTTAATTCTGATTACCTTTATGTGTGGGTCAAGATTCTTGGTTGTGAGTGACCGAAACCCAGCTGGAATTGCCTTATGCCCCAAACAGAACTGATTGGCTCCTGTCCCTGAGCAGTCTGTCCTAGCTAAGCCATGGCCAAGTCCAGGTGTTCAGACAAAGCTGTCAGCATCTGTCTCTCCAGTTCTTGTCTCAGCTTTCTTCTGTGTTGTTGGTGTCATTCTCAGCAGGCTCTAGGCTTATATCGTATCAGTCTAGCAATCCGTGGGAAAAAGAGCTTTTTCTCTAAATATTGTCCAGAAGTGAGTATAGTTGGACCAACCTGGGGTCTCATGCCTGACCCTGAGCCAGTCACTGTGGCCAGGGGTATGGGTTGCTATAATTGGCCCTTGCCCGGAACTGGGGCAGCATCAGCTCCTCCCAAGCTAGTGGACAGAGAGAGAAAGGGGTGGTTTCCCCTGGGAAAATCTGGGGTTCTTACCCAAAGAGAAGGGGAATGTGTATCTAGCAGGCAGATGCTCACCTGTTCCCAGTTTAGTCAACTTTTGCCTAAGATAGCACTGATTTTTTTTTTTTTTAAAGATTTTATTTTTTTGAGAGAGACAGAGACAGCGAGAGAGGGAACACAGCAGGGGGAGTGGGGGAGGGAGAAGCAGGCTTCCCGCGGAGCAGGGAGCCTGACGCAGGGCTCGATCCCAGGACCCTGGGATCATGACCTGAGCCGAAGGCAGACGCTTAACGACTGAGCCACCCAGGCGCCCCAGCACCGATTATTTTTAAGGGTATAGTATTGCCAGACTAATTTTTTTTTTTAAGGATATCATATTCACCATTCCACTTATAATGAGCCCGAGGCACCCATTATGTCAAGTCCAAGTTCTTCCATCCAGGCCTTCAGAGTGCTCTAGACTCTGTTGCCATCCTTCTAGTTTTGGAGCACAGGTGAGGGCCTTCTAATGCAGGCTAGGGAGTCAGGAGCATCCTTGGTAGGCAGACACCCATTTAAAGGGAGGTCTAAAAGATGAGAGGTGTGCCAGACTATAGGGGGGAGGGTGGACGCGGGGATGCTGTAGGCAGAGGAAACAGTGATTGAGAGGCCTGGAGGAGAGAGAGAGAAGGAGGGGCTCAAGTCATTCAGCAAGGGCTTGCATATGGGGGCAGGGGGAAGTGTAGGACCCCAGAGCAGATCGATGAGGCAGGAGAGGTCACAAAGAACTCTCCTTAAATCACATTAAGGAATTTGGACATCAGGCTGAGAACAGTGGGCAGCCCTTGAAGGTTTTTTGTTGTTTTTTTTTTTAACAGGAGTACTGTGGTCCAGCCAAAATTTGCAGGGTAGGTTGGGGGAGGGCCCAGCAGGAGGTGGGCATCCAGTTGGACCGCTGCGGCCTTCTGGGAAGTGACAGTGGCCGCCTCCCCTAATCCAGGGGTGTTTCTTGTGCTGCTTCACCTTGATGGGCCTCCTGTCTCACTCTCTGTGACACACACCTCACATGCCCGCCTGTCTGCATCTTTGCTCTCTCCACTTGAGCTCTCCTCTTCCTGCCCATCGAAATGCCCA